CCCCCCCCTTCCCAAGAAATTCTTGTTGTTTGTGGTGGCTCAGGATTTATAGCAGGATGTCAACTATTCATTGGGTCAGTGGCAAAATCCCCCAGCTCCTGCATCCAAGTGTCCTTGTGCAAGACACACCTCAAATATCCATCTGGGTTTATGTGTGTGCAAGACTTTAAAATATGTCTGTGGATGCAATTTGCAGTGTAAAAAGCGCAGTCAAGTAAAAAAAAAAAAAAAAAGGACTAAATACATTGCAGACTATTTATGGACCGCGCAGAACACAGATAGAAAATTTAATTTACAAGTTCCCACAGTAGATCAGCTGACACTAGTGACATCACAGGTGGGAGTCTTCTTAGGGTTTAGAGTTAGATAACTAACCTCATTAACTTGATTCACCAATATAATGTCTCTTACCCAATTTCCGGGATTCGTTAATTGAATAAGTGATTAAAAAAAAAATTGGTTTGTGCAAGCATGAAAGAGCTGAGTGAAGAGTAAACGAGCCTTCATGCATCACATACATGACATTCTTTCAATCACACAGGAATAAATTGACACCAGATGCAAACCTAGTTGTACACACAGAGATATCAAAGGAGTACAAGAGGAATTTCTCAATGCGCAGTGCACTGTGCAGCTGCACCTGTGAGTGGGCCACTGGAGCAGCCAATAACATATGTCAATGCAATTACCTTGATTTACTTTACTACAGTTTAAAGCATTAAAAATCTAAAATTCAAAAGGAAAGTATTTTTCCCTGCAAATTCTGCTTTTATCCACTTTTGGATATTTTTTTAAGTTCTCTGTTGCGCTAACAACTTTTCGATTTACCAAATTTTTTCAATTGTGTTCTGGCATCAAATTAAAATTGAGAATTTTTACTTTCAATAGTTAAAAATTGTAAATTTAAATAGGCCTTAGTCTCATTATTTGACAGAAATAATGTTTTTATTTACATTTTACAAGACAAAAAAATTTATATAAAATACTACAAGTAAGCTGGAAGCCACTGATTTTAATACACAACATAAAAAAACCTCAGAGGAAAACAAAGAAATTTCATAGCAAAAAATAGAGTGTATAATAGCGATGTCAAGCATTTCCTACCATATTCCAGCACTTTTATCTTTATCTAAAGGTTTACTGTTGTTTACCTTCATCTTCCAATTTCTGCTATGGAGAAAAATAATCTAGAAACTTGAACAGCTTAGTTAGTACCGAATCATTAGCAGTTATTATTTTCCCATAATCAGAGAAAGCGAGCGTGATTAAAGCTATATACTGTACCACCGCTAGGAAACAAAAAAATCCTTAAAGTAAGAAACATTTTTTCTGGAACAGCTACTAATTTCATATTTAAAGAACATACAGTAATGTTACATAGTAAAAAGATGAATAATAATAAAGCTTAATGGATCTTTACCACAAAGTGCGGCTAATTTCAAGTTTGATCATTTCAAAGACACAATAATAATGTTGTTACAAAAGAACGAAGGTTTATATTAAACTATCAGACTCATACTATAATTTACCTTCCTTAGAGTTAATGAAAACATTTGTTTCTAATACATGTTATTTAGGTAACGGTTGAAAAAATTATTCAGCCTGGATGCTACATGGTTGTGTATTTAGTTTTTATCCTTCTCTTTAATAGTATTAGGACTGGTTGAGTCTTAATTCGTTGTAATCTTTCACTTACTTCTGGCTGGAGTATCATCATTCACTTTCAAATGCAACCAGTTAAAATACTACACACCATACATGAATTCAGATTTCACTGTTTGGAAATGATTTTCCTAAATAAAAAGCAATAAATGTACTGGAAAACATCAGCATTAAAGATGTAGTACTAAATACTGTATATACACATGAGTGCCAACACTTACCTTTACCTTCACCCAGGCATCCTGCTCCTAGAACTAGTCTGAACATGCGTTTGAGGGACCTCCATTGACTCCTGCAGGAAACAAAATATTGAATAACTGTTCTCCAGATCTCAAAGACATCTTTTTAAAGCAGCAGTAACATAAACAGATTCAGGCTTACATTAATCCAGGGATGGTTTATGGACTCATTGATGCTAATTGTCTGGGTGGGCTTAGTTTTCATATGGCTGCAATAAGAAATAATCATCATTCAGTGTCCACATGCGTCTCCAACGTCATGCGCCATGTCTGTTTAAGACACAGAGCAACTGCAAATGTGTGTCAGTTTAAGCTTGTACATATTATCAATCGAGGTGAACATCAATATTGTCATATGAGTATGATCTGCATTGCTTTACTTGTTTTTTTTGTTGTTGTTGTTTTTTTAAACTGAGGCTACAGAACGGATCATGTGTTTGCACTGCCCATATGGAAAAGAAATAGTAAAAATGTATATGATTTACTCATGAAAGTGGCCACTTTTTTATTACTTTCACATATTGTTTTAGTAAGCATCCAAAACATACAAGTTTCATTATATAATTTTTCAAGGGATCTTATATCTGTTTTCACTCTTGTATGCTTTTCATACAAGTTTCACACAAGACAGATACAATCTTTCTAAGATAGAGACATCTCTCTAGATCTCTATATCTATATCTCTATATATCTATCTCTATATCTATCTATATATATCTATCTATATATATATATTTTCCATATGGGTGGAAAAAGGAAGAATTAAAAAAGTAAATCAAGTAAGTAATTCACTGAAGTATGAACTACTCGTTTAAATTTCCAGTCTGCCTTCTTCTCACATTGCTCAGGCACATCAGAGTACTCATATTGCTTATTACAGACCCATCTTTGCATTCCTGTGGCAAAAAAGGGAAACGCGTGTCTGTGAGAAGACAGAAAAAAAATCCCTGATGACAAGATGGATCTTATTAGAAGCAACCAGAAAAGCTGCAATGCAAAGGCACGTTACTCCATACTAGCAATAATAAAATCACTAAAAATACACAAAGTGACACCCAGACACCATATTTCACAGGAAATGTTGTACTCCACTGTACCAAGAAGGTCTGTAGCCAGCACACACAGTTTTAATTGGACTATTACTTGGCTGGTGCTTGACATTTAATGACTGCAGCAGGAGGTCATTAAAGCAGCATATGAGGGATTTGAAGAAGTTAGCAAATGTAATCTCCCATAACCACAGCAAACCCTCTACAGCAGGGGTGTCAAACTCAAATACACAGTGGGCCAAAATTCAAAACTGGAACAAAGTCGCGGGCTAACGTTAATATTTATTGAAATATACAGTATTTATTCCTCCAGATTTAAGAATGAATCTTTTCTTATGGACTCAAACATGTTTTGCTGAAAAACTGAATATGGAACAAGCAAAGCTTAATACTAAACAATATATATATATAT